GGGGATTCTTACAAACAAGACTCAGCAATAAATCTCTCTCCCCCTCCTCCAAAAAAGAAAAAAGAAGAGAAAACTAAATACATTTTTTCTGGTGCTCTGGCTGCTTCTCAGACTTTTAGGGAAATAATAGTTTCAGGCTTCTTCTGCTCAGCCAGAGAAGTGGAAATTAATGATCGATCTGTCAGCATGTTGAACGAAAGCGTGGGTATTTTTGCGAAAATACACTGGCTTTGATTAAAAGTGGCACGGAATGCAAATATTGGCAGGTTGTTCTGGAGTTTTGTTCGAAAAAAACTATTTATAAAAAGTGTTCACGTCATTCCCGTGATTTTCGGAGAAATGTGATATCAAGTGGAAAAAAAAGACAGAATTTATAATTCATCTCAAAATACGTGCACGTTTTGCAGGAAATTAAATTAAGAAACCGCAAATTTTATATAAGGAAGCTTTCAAATAAACTCTGTGAGCTTAACCTTCATCCCGCCTTTAGCCCTATAAAAGTTTTAAAAAGGCGTCATTTCGAGAAAAATAATTGTTTTAAGTTCCATATAATGGTATGAGTTGTTTTCTTTTTTCAATTCCCCTCCAGACTGGGGACTTGTCAGCTGCAGTTTGTTTCAGTCAGGTCCAGGGTGGACATTTGAACAACAAGAAAGAGAGAGAAGGCCTCTGTGGGAGAATGTGAGCCCCCCACCCCCCGACCCCCTCCTTCCTCTCACCCCTCCCGTCCTCCCTCTGAACACTGTACACCCTAAGTGAATCTGACTGCAATTATTTTCTCCTTTTATCCCCGCAGACGATCTTTTGCACTCTCCTCTGCGAAGACAAAAGTATCTGTTTGATGTCTCAACCCTTTCAGAAAAAGAGGAGCTGGTCGGGGCGGAATTAAGGATATTTAGGAGAGCGCCCGGGGATTTGCAGACTTCCCTGCAGAAGACGGGCCTCTACGACATTCAGCTCTACCCCTGTCGCTCAGACAAGCTGCTGGACTCCAGGTCCCTGGACCTGCTGGATTCCACGAAAGCCGGCTGGGAAGTGCTGGACGTGTGGGAAGTGTTTAAAGCGCGCCAGCATCATTATCACCACCCCCATCGCTCTCGTCACTATCAGCAGGAGAACCAGCTTTGCCTCCAGCTAAGGGTCACACTGGGCAAATCGGACACCGAGGTCGACCTGAGGCAGCTGGGGCTGGACAGGAGCGGCCGGTCCCAGCAGGAGAAGGCCATCTTGGTGGCCTACACCCGCTCTAAGAAGAGGGAGAACCTGTTCAACGAGATGAAGGAGCAGATCAAGTCGCGGAGGTCGGTCAGTGAGAAGGAAGTGAAGGTGGCAAAGGAGGAGGGGGTATCTCCGCTGACTGGGGCCAAAGGAGAAGGGCCCAGGCGGCGGAGGAGGACGGCGCTGGGCAACCGGCACGGGAAGCGGCACGGGAAGAAATCCAAATCCAGGTGCAGCAAAAAGGCTCTGCACGTGAATTTCAAAGAGCTTGGCTGGGACGACTGGATCATTGCACCCCTGGATTACGAGGCTTACCACTGCGAGGGGGTGTGCGACTTCCCCCTGAGGTCGCACCTGGAGCCGACCAACCACGCCATCATACAGACGCTCATGAACTCCATGGACCCCAACAGCACCCCGCCTAGCTGCTGCGTGCCCACCAAACTCAGCCCTATCAGCATCCTGTACATAGACTCAGGCAATAACGTGGTGTACAAACAGTATGAGGATATGGTGGTGGAGCAGTGTGGGTGCAGGTAGCGGCCATTATTGTGAAAAAACAAAACAAAAAACAACAACAGAAGATTGTTAAAGATACTCTCAGTGGGTTCAAGGCTGAAGGTAGAAAGTCCTCATGGGTCTCAAAGCGTTTTGACGCATGATGCGCCCTGTTTTTATTCAAAAGGGATGCGCGCGCGCACGCACACGCACACGCGCGCACAAACACACACACACACACACACACACACACACACACACAC